TTAACAGCCAAATAAGTGTATGACTGTAAAACAATCTTTCATGCTTTTACAGAAAATCTGATGGCAAAAAATATGATTATATAGCACATAATGTGTGCTGTATCACTCATCTCACACTTCCTCTCCCCTCTTTTTTTTGCCTAACCAAAAGTAGGAGAGGTCTGTAATCACTGCAGCTTCTCTTCCCGGACAGAACCATGGAAAATGCCTGTCCCAGACAGCAACAGTGTAATGGGCTTCTGGTTTCTGATTGGCACTCCCTCCTCCCCAGGAAAATGTCTTGTAGTAAAATAAATGTGTTTGTGCAGTGGTGACTATTTGTCACTGTAGACCCTGACACAGGCATTAAAGCATCTGCCATTTAGAACTGTGTCTCATAACTGCCCAACATGAGAGCTGTAATGAAATCCTACCTTACCATCTTGAACTAGAGGAGTCTGTTTAGTTAGCGAAGTTGCACCTCTCAGATGATAACAGGGCTGTAACTGATATGAACACTAAAGTCCATATCCAATCAAAGGAAAACAGCAATGATTTGGAACAGCTATGGACCCAAGGACTCTGTGAATATTTTCAGCTCTGCTCCTACAAAGATTGTTTAATTATATGAAGGCATCTTCTTCAGATCTCGACCTTTCTGACTTTCTGTCTCCACGGGACGTTTGCTAATCCAGTTGCCAAACTTGCATTTGAGATAGATGCTCCCTCTTGCTTACAAGTTCTCTGAAACAGACACACACAGAACACACACTTCCTCTGGTCATTTTGCAAACCTCCACTGAGAGACTATGTGAGATTATGGTTATGAAAATAACATTTCTTCAGACAAGCAGAATTTGAACAGTTAAGGAATTAACAGAATGTAGGTAAGCAAAAGTCAGCTTGAGGTCTAACAATATATATATATATAAATGAACATCAAAAATTAAACCTGTTCTGTATTATTGACCACACACTACTGTAAAGTTTGTGTATTTTAAGGTACAAAAAGATAACCCAGGCTCAGCAGTGCTACTACATACCACAGACCATGGACTTCAGTAATCTGCATTCCAGCAGCAGGAATGATTCTTCCATGAATTACAGTGAAGTTCTTTTGCTTACATTTTCCAGAAGCCATTGTCAGCATAAGCAAATCTGGTCCCCCACAGGGTCACTACTACCCAGATTTTAAAGAAAACTTGAAGTATCTAATTTCTGTTCACCCAGCATTTCTTTGGGGTTAAACATGCGTCCTTCAGCAGCTTGCACATCTTCTGCGCACCAGTTTTCTCATTACAGTTTCCACATGTCTCAGATATTTGAAACATCTCTAGAATGTGAAGATCTGCTTAAAACCTCCTTCTTAAAGGAAAGAAGAAATGAAATGTCTTATTCTTTTTTGCTTTTGCAATCCTTGGCGTAATATACTACTTCCACTGTGAATTTTGTAGAGCAGCAACACATCAAGGTTTTCTCTAATTCTTAACAATTAACTGTGATTATCGATACATTAGCAGACAGGGTATGTACATCAGGATCAGGCATGCACAAATTGGTAATGCCAATACGTCATGTTTCAGGGTGAGAAAACCCAGGTGACACATTCTTAGAGCTCCCTGTAATGAGTATCAAAAGTGCAGTAAGTGGTGACTATTCAGAGATTGCTCCATAAGCATGCTCCTGACAAAATAAAATAAGAATGTAAACGCACGTATAGGTATTTGAGTGCACCACTTAGTAAATCAGGAGGAATAGCAGATAACTAACCCTTAAATAGCTTAAACTGGTGCTCTACCTATACAACATGCAGGTAACAAGTGGCAAAAAAAAAACACCAAACGTGGATATTAGCATAATCCCCAGGTAGGTCACCTAGCTTCACATGAATACACTGCCAAACTCAGGTGATAAGATCTTCTGTGCGAATGGAAAATCACTGAGAGCAGGACAGGAAAAAGAGTGAAGAAGAAAAAGGGGATATTTGGAGTGGCATGTGAGGCCCTGTGGTCCAAAATCAGAAAATATTTCTCTGTAATTCTAGATTAGACTTCTGCTCAAATCATAAGATGACCTTGATTCAAGAATGACCTTGGCATTATCAGCTCATCACAATTATATAAAAATATCTAGAATTCATTTGGAGGAAAGAGTAACTGAGGTCCTAGAGATCAGCCATGACAGAAAATGCAACCTAAGTTTCTTGGATTTGGGGTCATCTTGACTTAATATTTCCTCGGTAGGACAACAGATCTCATACATCAGCAAAATACAGTACACCTCATCTGTTCCTCTGCGTTTGCAAATGTACTTAAAGTACCGCAGCTTTCTGCAGGAAGGAGTAACAACTGGGTAACATACAGTCTTCACAGTCCGAGAGCAAGTTTTCCTGTGAAGATCTGTGAAGTAGCAGTTGGTACCTTACAGATGGACTTCCCCAGAGATGCCCATTCCAGTGCCATGCCCAGTTTTTCTTGTTCATATATTTTTCTTCCAATACAGCTGCAAGGTGTGAGAGAACAAAGACAAGCACCAATTTCTGACCCCTCCATTTGTAATGCTTTTGTAATGGTGAAAATTATTAAGGGTACTTTGTTCATATAAGCTATGGTTGCTTGCTAGCTGCTGTGCTGACCAAGGAGCTAGAATAGGAGATGCAACACAATGGCTAAAGCAAAATCAAAGTTGCTTACATGAAGGGGAAATGGCCAATTTCTCTCAAACTAAAATTCAGTTACAATTGAGAAGAGTTTTGCTCAATAAAGGGCTATCTTTGTTGTCCCCACATTACTTTGAGGAACTAGGTCTGTTTACTCCAGCTCTCAATGAATCAATGCTGGAAAGAAAGAAAGAACTTTTTGTTTCCTGCTTAAAGCAAAAAAAAATCAATCTGTTGACAGCTGAAGGAGCATCTGGCTCCTCAACTTCTACTTTCCCAACTCCCTTAGTCAAGTTAAAACTCTCCAAGAGGACATTTTATGAATATTTCTCCCAAAGTTTTCATTTGTGTAAATTGATCTAATCTCTGTCTTATTCCAAACACCTCCAGATCAGCAGTGAAGAAACTAAAGATTAAAAGGAAAAAATAATAATACTGTAACAAAAAGTGTTTTAAGTGACGAGCATGCATAATTTATGTATTACTATTATAATTAACAGTGTGGGACTAACATTCCTCTAACACTGAAAGGCACATAATTGCAAGGAGCAACTGTTCCCTCAGTAAATGGCAATCCACATGAGAAACACACGGGATGGGTACAGGCTGACATTACATCCCTTTTTAAAGGTAGAAAATTAAATCACAGGAAAATTCAGTGACTGGTCAAAGGTCAAACAGAAAACTAATTACAGAGCTGGGAAACTGAGAAACTGTGCCTTATGTTCAACTCCTTAATTGTAAGGCTAACCAATATACATATATATATATGTATGTATATACATACATACAACTTAGTGCCGGAACATAAATATCCAAGTTGTTTTCACAGGGAACAGGCTGCATTTCTCTGTCTCATCCAAAACTGGGTATCGTCCTACCTGATTAAACCAGGAATTAGGTCAATTTTAACAATATTAATTTGGTTGAAACAAAAATCATGGCTACTGTCCACTATTTTTGTACTCAGAAAAACTGGTTTGCAATCAGTTTTGGAGAAAGACAAGTCAGTGACTGATTTTAATGTAGCTTTTGACAACTGAACAAAAATGCCACAGTTACTTCACAAAACTATGAAATTAGAAGCTAGCTGTGAGAGATATCATGGTACTACAGGGGCTCATCTACTCCTCGTGTATTATTGAGCTTATCTGAGGAAATATGCACACAGACACAGAGAAATATACCTACTTATCCACACACATACATACACGTGTGTGTGTGTCTGTAGATACAAACACATGCATGTGTATACACATATATCTATTTTTACATAAGCAGTGAGAAATTACATGTCACGTAAGGATCTCAAGGCAGACCAGTGAAAGAAGCAATACAAGACATTTTCCCACACTTTCTCTTTCTTGAGGTGAGATGTGACATTACAGTATATCTTAACAGAGGGAGATCACAAGCTCCATTTCTGTCTCAGGGGCCAGGAAGCTCTGTAAGTCTTGCCAGGCCCAAGGGATTAAGCTGCAGTTTCAACAGATGCCTGGGCTTTGATTGCCCTAGACACTGTCAAGGACAGGGGCTGTCCGGAGAGCCCCATTAGGCTGTAACCCAGTCACCTGAATTCACTTCTGTCATCTCCCAGGAAACATCGGAAAGTTCAAAGGAAAACACTGCATCAGGGTGTGATAACCACAGGTGCTTCAGCTCTGCAGCACGGCTCTTCCTTGGCAACCTTCCCCTGTGTGTGGAAGAACAGTGAGACTGGCTCCCAACCTTGGGCTGGCTGTGGGTCACAGGAATGGCATGCTTTGAGGGGGCTGAGAGAGTAGCAGGGGCTTCTGAAAACATTTCTCCTTCTGTTTGGACAACCATGGCTGCCTTTGAAAGCCCTCCTTACAAACCTGTACTTAGCACTGCGGTAAGAAGTGTGCAGTGTGTGTATGGTGAGTATCTGGCCGCGTGTGTGTGGCAGGGGAGGGCTCCGTGGGCAGCTCTGTGTCTGTGTTCCCTGCCAGCCTTCAGCAGAGCTGCCTGCTGTGCTTGGACACAGCTCCCCAAACCCCCTCCTCACCTCGTCATCCCAAGTTCACAGGCCTTCAGGGGGCATTTTTCTTTGTCATTTGTTTTACTTTTTTTCTTCTCTTTGCCTCCCTCCCCATGTTCCCCCTCCTTCCCAGCCTTCTAAATAGGAGATGTTCTCAGGACAGCGCCCAGGAGACTGGCTGGAATCAGTTTTGGAGGGTGATGCACCGCGACAGCTAAAAGTTGGATAGGGTTTCAGCAGCTCCTATATATAAAGCAGTGGGGACTTATGTCACCGCACTAATTAAATTCCATCTGGGTTGCTCCTCAGGGTGTTTTTGAGCCTGCCACCCCACTGGAGCAGGCAGAGGGGCCCAGGGACAGCATGATGATGGACCTTTTCGAAACCGGCTCCTATTTCTTCTACTTGGACGGGGAGAATGGGGCCCTGCAGCAGCTGGAGATGGCAGAGGGCTCCCCGCTGTACCCGGGCAGCGACGGCACCCTGTCCCCGTGTCAGGACCAACTGCCGCCGGAGGCCGGCAGCGACAGCAGCGGCGAGGAGCACGTGCTGGCCCCGCCGGGCCTGCAGCCCCCGCACTGCCCGGGCCAGTGCCTCATCTGGGCCTGCAAAACCTGCAAGAGAAAGTCGGCCCCCACCGACCGGCGGAAAGCGGCCACGCTGCGGGAGCGGAGGAGGCTGAAGAAGATCAACGAAGCCTTCGAGGCTCTGAAAAGGAGGACTGTGGCCAACCCCAACCAGCGGCTGCCCAAGGTGGAGATCCTCAGGAGCGCCATCAGCTACATTGAGAGGCTGCAGGACCTACTGCACAGGCTGGATCAGCAGGACAAAATGCAGGAGGTGGCGGCGGACCCCTTCAGCTTCAGCCCCAAGCAGGGAAACGTAAGCACGGCGGCCCGTGCCCCGGCACCCAGCTGCGGGCCTGCGCTCCCCTCCCTCCTTCCCCTCCTCCTCCCCCCGACGGGGGGCTGACGGCCGCGAGGGGGGGGGAAGGGGGGGGGGGCGGAGGAGAACAGGGGGGGATGGGGGCCGGGGGAACGCGCCTCGCTAACGCAGCCTTCCCTCTCCCCGCGCCCCGCCGCAGGTCCCCGGCTCCGACTTCCTGAGCACCTGCGGCTCCGACTGGCACGGCGCTTCCGACCATTCCCGCGCGCTGGGGAGCAGCCCCAAAGCAGGTAACGGCCGCCGCGCTCGGCGCTCATCCGCAGCCCGGCGCCCCCGCCCTGTGACGGCTCCCCGCGGCCTCCTTGCCGGCCGCGTCCGCTCCCTAACCCCTCTCTCCCGCCGAGCAGGGGGCTCCATGGTGGAGTCGTCGGCCTCCAGCAGCCTGCGCTGCCTCTCCTCCATCGTGGACAGCATTTCCTCCGACGAGCCCAAGCTGCCCGGCGCGGAGGAGGTGGTGGAGAAATGAGCGCCGCGGCGGTGCGGCTGCCTCGGGACACGCTGCCCTCGGAGACCCAAGCCGCACGGACTCTTCTCTCACCCCTCTTTGTATCTTCCGTTTTGTTTTCTTGAAGTTTTGTCCCACAGACCACCCCCCATCCCCTTTTTTTTTTTTTTTTTTTTTTTTTTAATTATTTTTAACTGACGGTACTTAGCGTTGTACCGGCGGAGCGCTCGCCCTGCGCCCAGCCGAGCAGTCCATTCCTGTCAAGGTGAAGCCGTTTGGCTGCGTTTCGTCTGCGTCTCGTCTGCGTCGTGCTCAGAGCGTCCCCGCCTCGTTTCGCATCTTGTAAATAATTTCAGTACTGCCTTTTGTAAACGTGACAGATGTGTATTTAAATGATGGACGTGATATTGTATATAAGAAAGGGTTCCTCGGACTGTAAAATAAAAGCTCTTTGTGTTACAGCGTTCCCCTCCCGGTTATTAAACCCGGACCGGTCCTGCGATGCCGCGCAGGAGGCGGTGGAAGGGAGCCGCTTTGAGCCGTTTTCTTTTCTGGTTTCGAAAGGTCGCAGCCACTTCTCGGAAAGGTCTCGCTCTCCTCGGCCTGGAGAGCACGGGAACCCACAAGCGTTGGCGAAAAAGCGCCGTCGTTTCGTTCGTTTTCGCTTCTGATCGGCCGATGCCCGTTTCAGCAGAACACCTCCGACGGGGCTCCCCGGGACCCCAGGCTTCCTTGCGACGGGAATGTCCTCGCTGTGTTTGCAATTCAAGCGTTTGTGTTCGATACTAATAACGACAATCTGCACCCAATTCCGAAACCAAAACACTGCCCTGAATCACATTATCAAAGGGAGGACGATCACACGAGGTCTGCGCTTCACGTCTTTGCCTCACATCTGTTCTCCAGGGGGCCCGCGCACCACGCTCACGCTAACTAAGGCGGCTGCCCCATCCCGCCCCGCCGCCCCCCGTCCAGCACGGAGCGCACCGCCTGCACACAGCGCCGGGCTGCCGGCCCGCTGGGACGGACGCGGCCGAGCGCTCACAGCCCGCGCGGTTCCGGCGGCGGCAGCTGCCTGCAGAACGCGTAGGGTTTTTGAAGCAAACGGGCAGGGGAACGGGAGCGGGGGGCGGGGGAAGAGTAGGCAAATAACGGAGCCATGTGCTCGCCGGCAGCCCTCCGGCAGCGGGAACTGCGACTTTCCCAGTCCCAAGGCTGCTAAAAGCCCCCGCGTGTCCCTTTGATCTCTCCTGGGAGTCCCGGAGTGCCGGCAGAGGCCAATGCCTTCCTCAGCTGTCCCCATCCGACCCCCCCGGCAGGTACCGATGTGTTTACTTAGGTGCGCCGTTCCCAGCACGGGGACCAAACGCGCCTTTCTCGCCGGGAGCGGCCGCTGCGGTAGCGCACAGACACAGCTCTGCCTCAACGGGCCGAGCCCACCCCCAAGCCTGCATACCCCGCGGTTTCCGTCAGAAGCATTTTGTTGCAAAGGGCTGGAAGCCCCCTCCCCTGCAGCCGCAGCCGTGTAAGTCTGCGTCTGCGCTCCCCTCTCGTTAGTTCCAGTCGCCTGCCGCACTTAGAATTTGTTGTGAGATCACTTTACCAGAGGAGCTGGGCGCTCCCGAGGGACATCAGTGCACGCTTTGTGCTGCACAGCTTCCCCTCTTCCCACCCCCAGACAGCCAAGCACGGCGGACGAGGCTTTCCCAGCCCCGCACGGACCGCGGTGCGCGCAGCCCCGGCTCCGTCGCACCGCACGCACAGCGCCGGGCAGTGGAAGCGCGGCCGCCGGCCCGAAAAGGACCGAGCATGTTTGTACACAAATCTGCACACAGCTCTAGTTTAGCCGGCGCGAACGTCGTACATCAAATGGGGGGGAGGGGGGTGAGCTACAGCCCAGTGACGGGTTCACGTTACCGCGGAGCTGAGCCTTCCCGGCCGGCGGCTTAGGGCACGGCCGCGGTGCCCGCGGCCCGGCACAGGCTCGGAGTGCTCGTCCTTGCCGCTCTGTAACTTCAGCCCTTAGAGCAACTTTCTGCTTTTCGTGCAGTATTCCTTTCAGAGGGGGCTCACCCCATTTATGGCCCCATACAAACCACTGCAGTGCAGATGCAGCCCTCCCAAGCCCCTAGATCTTTCTTATATAGAAGGGTGCATACACGCTTGCAGTTTCCTTTAGGAGAAGTTTCATCCTAAGAATGAAAATCCGTTTCTCCTTTTTTTTTTTTTTTTCCCCCTTTTTTTTTTTTTTTTTTTTTTTTTTTAAAGGGGCAGGAGGGGGATGAGAGTGCAGGGGGGGGGTCCTGCAAGGGTCAGGGGGAGATCCAAACCCCAGGCCCTGCTTACTGCCCAGGCAGGTGCAGAAGCTTTGGGTGGGCGCTGTGTCTGAGACTGTGTCCCTCTGAAGGCTCCCGAAGACAACGGGGTGGGAATGTCCCTTTCTTCCCCTTCCCACAGCCCTTGCTGCAGCCATGCCCTCTACCTGGCACCACACCACTCCATCCGAATCACTGCAGGCTACTTTCCCTCTGTCTGTGGTAGCCTAATGACATAATTTTATTCCCAGGTAGGGAAAGTTTCCTTTGCACTCTCCTAATATTGTCCCCAACTGCAAAAGCCACCTGGCTGAAACCAAAGGGTTCCCGCACATTAGCAGCTGCCTGTTAAATGGCTTCATTACCGCTCTAATGACCCCTGCGCAGCTCTGCCCGCTACTGCTGCGGCTGGGCCTCCGCAGGGCTTTGTCCCTGCCCTGTGTAAAGTTACCGAGAGGTTTGGGGTTAGAAATTTTACACTTCCAGGAGGGGTTTGTTATGCCGGCAGCTGGGACGCATCTGTAACGGTGCAAGTTGGCCTGAAAGCAGAAAATCAGTGGGCCCAGGGCACTGCGCGGCTGTTGTGTCTCTGGCAGCATCAGGTCGCACACGGAGGAGAAGCAATGGGAAGGAGTTTGTCTGGCAGCAAACGCACTTTGTGAGCGCTTCTCCATGTGACCCAATCTAAGAGCACAAACATCTGTTTGCCTGCTCCTTGCTACACATAGCTGTCCTTGTTGTCCCCTCTTGTGGGAACACAGCTTTAATTACAGGACAAAGTGCCTTCTGAGATCAACGGGTGAATGCGAGTGCTGAAAGAGGAGTAAATCATGTCACGTTGGATCTGTAGTGTGGGAATAGGGATAGGAGAGCAGGCACTGCGGGTGCAGCGGGATTCATTCCCCTTGGTGATGGCAAGGTGATGCAGGGGGTGATATGGGGAATGTCCATGGTCCATGCACTCACTGCCCATCTTTTTTTTTCCCTCCCCAAGCTCCCCAGTTTGGTGTAGGCTTTAGAGACTGCTCGAAGGCGGGTGAAGAGCAAATCAGCCCCTTGGGGGCCAGAGGGGGCCTGCCCAGCCGGGCAGGGGCTGCGGGGGATATGCTAATGGAGCCGGGCCGCTGCGGGCCAACCTCCCACAATGCGCCTATATAGGGCCCCGCATCAGCCGGCGGCCACTTTGTCTCGGGTCGCTAATTGCAGAGGGAATCACTGCACTGCGCTGCGAGCTGCCAGCCCACTCTGCTGCCTCGGACGAAGAGATGGAGGTGATGGACAGCTGCCAGTTCTCCCCATCCGAGCTCTTCTATGACAGCTCCTGCCTGTCGTCCCCTGAGGGTGAGTTCCCCGAGGATTTTGAGCCAAGGGAGCTGCCTCCTTTTGGAGCCCCTGTGCCCACTGAGCCTGCCTGCCCTGAGGAAGAGGAGCACATCCGGGCCCCCAGTGGACACCACCAGGCTGGCCACTGCCTCATGTGGGCTTGCAAAGCCTGCAAGAGGAAATCCACCACCATGGACCGGCGGAAGGCAGCCACTATGAGGGAGAGGAGGAGGCTGAAGAAAGTAAACCAAGCATTCGAGACCTTGAAGAGGTGCACCACAGCCAACCCCAACCAGAGACTCCCCAAAGTGGAGATCCTGAGGAACGCCATCAGGTACATCGAGAGCCTCCAGGAGCTCTTAAGGGAACAGGTGGAGAACTACTATCACCTGCCGGGACAGAGTTGCTCCGAGCCCACCAGCCCCAGCTCCAGCTGCTCCGATGGGATGGTAAGAGCAGGGCAGGGTGAGGGGCAGCTCACGATGGGCTCGAGCAAGGGCCCTTGGCAGTGGGATTTCGGGAAAAGGTGGATAACTTGGGTGAAATCTTAAAAATGTTGGACAATTTGAGTTCCCACCAGCCCTTTCCTAAATTTAAGCTTGCACATGGGCTTTAGGGTACCCAGCAGGCACCCCAGCCTCTGCTCGCCCTTTGTCCCCTCTGTTTGGGGCCGTGCGTGGGGAGGGAGGTGCAACCCGGCTGGAGCGCACCCGGGGGGCCGCCGCCCGCTCTACCGGGATGCTTCGGGGGGCTGCGCGGGCGGACGGGCCGGCACTGGCCCCTCGCTGTCTTGCAGGCGGACTGCGGCAGCCCGGTCTGGCCAGCGAGAGGCAGCAGCTTCGAGGCGGGGTACTGCCCCGAGATGCCCCACGGTAAGGCCGGCGGCGGGCGGGGGGCTTGGGGCGGCCGGCGGGCGGGGGTCGCGTCTGGGCGGCCTGCGGTAAGCGGCTCGCCCCGGTGCCAGGTTACGCGGCGGAGCAGAGCGGCGCGCTGTCCAGCCTGGACTGCCTCTCCAGCATCGTGGACCGCCTCTCTCCGGCAGAGGAGCCGGGGCTGCCCCTCCGCCACACCGGCTCCCTCTCGCCAGGCGCCAGCATCGACTCGGGGCCCGGGACGCCCGGCTCGCCGCCTCCCCGACGGACCTACCAGGCGCTATGAAGGGCCGGGGCCACCGCCCGTTCCGGGGCTGACCCCGGCTGCCCTCTCGTCCGGCCTCCCCGCAAAAGCTCTCGGGAGGGAGGAGCGGCCCCGGCTCCGCTGCCGTCGGGGCTGGGGGCGATGCCGCCGCCCGGCGCAGCCCCCGGGGCTCGGGACGCGTGTGCTGCCCTGGAAACCCCGCTGCAAATAAAGCGTGCTACCACACAGCCGGCTCGCCTGGTGCTTCTTTAACTGCATCCCCGCGTGCTCACGGGGGCCCGACTGTAGTGCCCGGCCTGGCTGGGAGCTCTCGGCTCCCCCACCCGCATGGGTGCTGCTCTGGGGCTGCTCACGGGGGAGCAGAACTCTGCAGGATCAGACTCTCCCTCCTGCTACTAGCACTTTCCTTTATTTTCTGTGAGAGTGGCAATAATATTTAATTTTCATCATCTGTTGCAAAGCCCTTGCTTCTTTCCATGGATCCAAAGACCAAACGTGTCAGGACTTGGCTACAGCATCGCATGATCACTTCCTTCTGTGAAAGACTGCATGACCCAGGCCTGATACCCTGTAGGGGAATTCTGATCTCAGTCACTCTCAGTGCTTTTGCAAAGACAAATTTAGCAGATTTGCTAAGAACAGACCACAGTTTGGTTTCACAACCCACAAGGTACATTTTGCAATATTCAGAAAGCAATGTAGAAGTGTCTGTACCTCCTGCCTTTTGGTCCCACTAGTCTGGATGAAAATCCTTGACTTAATATTTGCAGTTGTGTGGACCTAGAAACAGCCAGATCAAAATTTCATGAGTTTCAGCTATTTCCTTCCAGGCATGCTTCTCTTCTGCCTCTTTCTCCCATGAAACAATTCCAACCCTTCTCTAGCTGCAATCAAAAACTTTTCTAAGCCCCACAAAAGAGATCTGTGAGAGAGAAATGGGCTCCTTTGGAGCACCCAGGAATGTCTTCTCTGGTAAATACACCAAGTAGAAAGAGAAACAATTCACCAGCATGGGTTAGGGATGTCTTTGCCATTTGTGTTTGTGTTGCTAGCAATGGGTGGCCAAGGGGCCTGGAAGTGGTGATTCACCTCTGATAAATCTTTCACTTGAACCTAGCCCAGCTTAGTTACTTCTCCGAAAGCTGCCACCTGACTGCTCTTTGGCAGCATCCACAAAACAAGGATGAGGAAGTACCCTCAGGATGGCCCTATCCTCAGCATGCAGGTCACTCGCCCCAGCAGGCTGTGGGGACACAGTGTGCCTCCTCCTGTACACCTCCCCTGAATGTCACCTTTTGCCCATGCCGTGTGACCTCAAGGTGAGTCTCTGCAGTTTCTTCTCTGCAGTTGTTTAGAATAAGCTTTTTCCAGAATGATCTTTATGTCTTTATAGATAGATCCAAAATAATCATCAAGCAGAAAAAGTGGTTGAAAAGCACTTAGCCTGTGTAGAGGTACAAGCATTATATCATTGCACATGCTCCAGGATGCAAGCGCCTGATTGAAATACAGTCCTTCTTGGCTGTTGGCGACAGCTTCCTGAGCCCTCTGTGGAAATCTTTGTGTAAGATCTTGAGCCTTTATTCACAATCTCTCACAAATTGCTGCATTGGTGGCTGGTGACTTGCTTGCTCCACTCGAGCAAAATGCAGTCTCAAGGACACTGCTTATGGCCAGGAGACAGTGCAGAGCATTCTAAGTTATGGTTTACTATGGAGCCAAGTGGGAAACTTTCTGCATTTCATTCTGCACCGTGTTGACCTTGGCAAGTGATCTCCCGTGAAGTATGCAGAGCAACACCAGCAAATCACATGCTGGTAATGTACACCCCTCTTTGGCTGGCAGACATTTTGAGCATTGCAAAAAGGTCAGTACTTCTGAGGCTGGCTTTTCAGAGAGCTAGCAAAAGTACCAACCTGTGGGATGTTTGTCCATAGCCTCCTCAGCCCTACCAGGCTAGATTACAATCTCAGGCTTTTGTTATATACATTGAGAAAAACAACTCTTGATCGTAGCACATCTATAAACAAAGCTGCTGTGAACCTAAATGTGCTGTAACCCTCAGGAGGAGTGGAAGTTCGCGTTGTGAAACCAGTTTTAGTCTGTGGATTGGAAAGAACAAGGTGTAAAATGCCACTGTCTTGGGACATAGCTGTTGTCACATTTTGTGTGGTCAATAATAATGATAAGGAATCTCACCTACTGTCAAACAGACGGAGCAATGCCTCATAGCCTCAGGCTAATCTAACAGTGATTTCAGAAGTTTCTGTCACTCCCTCATTGCAATGAGTATATCATTTTCTTAATAAAATTTGTGTTATATTTTAATTCTACCTCTGAAATACATGCTTTCTTGGATTATATTCTAGTTGAATTTGAGCTGGGCTTATATTTTGGTGATGAGCTTCTTGTATCTTTCATTAAGAAACCAAGCAGAGATCTTCAAATAAATGCTTATTTTAATCTCAGATCAAAAGTCTTTCTGTACATTACAAACCTAACAGAGGAACCTCTCAAACATCTCTTAAATATAACATAAGGAAAAAAATCTGCTTAGGGAATAAGAGATGCAAGGAGCAGTGAATCCACATATGACAGGATAGTCCACTTCAAATGAAGATTTCCTCATATCAGGTTACAGGTAGCCATGTCCAAAAAGTAACCATATCTAAAACCTGTCATGGATTACCTTTCTAACATCAGAAGAGCTGAGCTTTAGGCTTATTCATAAGAAATGCTGCCCTGTGGGCCTATACTTCCAGGCCCCTTTCTTCCTCTTCAGTGTGTTTGCATGTTTCTGGAAGATTTTGTCTGTATGTTGATGTGTTACTGCTGTATGCTGATAATGACCATGCTTTTCACACCTGAAGTGTTGCAAGTGTGTTTGTGAATCGGTGGATATCAGATGTACTTTTGTATCTTTCCCAGGATTTCAAGCTGTTGTCTGTGTAGATGTGTGCCTGGAAATCTTTTCTGCCTGATATAAATTTGTTTTTCTAAGAATGTTTTCCCTTGTGAGGTGTGTGTCCATTGAGAATGTGCTGTGAATTCATGTGTGCTGTAATGAGCTCTTGCTGGGCTTCTTACAGCAAAGGTTGAAGAACAAGCTTCATTACAATGTTTTTAGTCATATCTTTTTAAAAGGCACATCATTGGAGTATATGCGTTTGATTTGGGAGGAATTCAGCATCCCCTTCTTCTCAGATTGGCCTGCTTATCAGGAGCATTAGTGGCTGCAAGCAACTCTTCCCTCCCACATCAGGACTCCCTCCCTCCATTTCTCCTCTGCAGAGCTCCTTGCTCGCTCATCGCTTCACCCTTCTCCTCTCAGATGGGCCCTGGGATCCCAGGAGGCCTGCAGTTGGCCTGCTGACCTTTAGCAGGCTCTGTTTGGGGTATCAGCCCCACAGCTGGCCACAGCTGCCTTCCTGGCAACTCAAGGTCTACTGAATGTGGCCAGATGGAGACTGGGCTGGGATCCTACTAGCTAATCTGATGTTGTGAGGAATGAAGAGCTCACCCTGAGTATGGGGCTGAGCAGCACATATTGGCACGTGCTGCCACAGGGTGCCGGGGCCAGACTCAGGCTGGCTGAAAAAGAGACAGCAGAACTGTTTGTTTTTATTGTGCTGTATATGACTTTTCCCTTGTATATTAGTTTAGTCTTCAATAGCCACCTTCTCCCTCACTTCTTTTGTTCTTCTCTCCATTCAGTCCAAGAGATACACCCATCTACCACACCAGTACAGGACTGAATGAAGGAATTATTGCCCTTCCCAGACACAGCGTGATATATTTTCTCTTTATTCAACTGCTGTCCCACTTCCCTTCCTCCAGGATCTTATGCATCTTGGATGCTCATGGACCTCATGCCAAACTTACTGTGCCACTGAGGCAAGCTACTTTCTGAAAGGTCTCTTGCTTTCTGGTCCCCAGAGCAGCTAACAAGGGTCATCCAGTTCCAGGGCCATCCTGGAGCATTAGTAGCATTTATGGGCTGCCTGGCAATCTGCTTGAAGATATTGGTGGCTGTGATGCCAAAGGCATTGCTGATCTGTGCTTGAAGAAGGCAATAGAGGGCATGATATATGAGTGTCAGCAAGCCCAGAGAGTGATCATAAAGGTAGTCAGCGTCTGTATTAAATCAAGCGTGTTTAAATCTGAGGCTCTCTGAGAAGCATTCAAAGCTGGAGTAGCAGCAATGAAAGGAATCTGTGTCCTTTCTTTTTATTTCTTTTACCTTTCTTGATTAATATAAGCTTTTTAATTGATATTATTTTCTGTTTTGAAAAATCCATACAAAATGCATACTAAGCAAAAACTAAAACCTATAAAGGAAGCATTAAAACCTTTAGCTCCGATTTTTTTATATTTTTTTATTTTTTTTAAGTACCACACCCTACTGCTTGCAGTGGGACTGAGTTACCTAGCAGGGACTCCAGGATTGAGCAAAAGCTTGAGCTAGTGTATGTATTATAGAGAGCCAAAATGTAGATGTAATCAGGTTTGAATTCTGCCTATTGCCTTGATATCACACAATTCATTAAATTAGTAAATGAATAATTGCTTAATCAGGGGTTAACAAATAATGACTGTAACTTCAGTTACACCTGTGTGTGGCACAAAGACCTAATTAGCAGATGGATCACTGCACCAACAAGAGTTTCAATTTCTGTAAATGGAAGTACTTGAATCTGCCCTGCTCCCTTCACTTCCACATTTTAAATAACTACATATCCAAGGTGTGGATTTCTTTTTTTTTTTTTTTTTTTTTTTTTTTAAACTAGTGTGAAAAAAACCTGTTTGTTTTCCTTTCCAATTCATTGTGCTTTGAGGAAATAGAAAGACAAACAGTATTTAAGGTTTGAAAAGTATTTATTTCTACAATTGCTGTTTTGGAGCATCTTCAAATTGATCTAATAGTGAAATTCTGAATACTGCTGTGTGCACTGAAAAGCAGAAGGGGAAGTGTCACTGCTGAACATACATACAAAGTGTACATCTGAAATCTCTTTCCCATA